AGCGGTTTTCCCTCTTAGCTATGATATGACTAATCATCATCATCAGCCTATTAATGTCCCCACTGCTGGGGCACAGGCCTTCCCTATGGATGGAATAGGGAGATTGGGCCATGACCCACCACGCGGGCCCAGTGCGGATTGGTGGGTGCTAACGACTGCAAATGCAGCCGGGACCAACGGCTTAACGTGCCTTCCGAAGCACGGAGGAGCTCGAGATAGTAAATTTTTGGTCACCCATCCAATGACCGACCACTGCGAAAGTTGCTTAACTTCAACGATCGCAGCCGAACGCGCTAGCCACCTGCGCCATCGAGCTCCTCCTCCTTAGATATGACTAATGGTGGTATGGTTTTCAAGCAAGATCTGAAACGAACTTCCTTCAGCGGTTTTCCCTCTTAGCTATGATATGACTAATGGTGGTATGGTTTTCAAGCTAGGTCTGAAACGAACTTCCTTCAGCTGTTTTCCCTCTTAGTTATGATATGACTAATGGTGGTATGGTTTTCAAACTAATCTGAAACGAACTTCCTTCAGCGGTTTTCCCTCTTAGCTATGATATAACTAATGGTGGTATGGTTTTCAAGCAAGATCTGAAACGAACTTCCTTCAGCGGTTTTCCCTCTTAGCTATGATATAACTAATGGTGGTATGGTTTTCAAGCAAGATCTGAAACGAACTTCCTTCAGCGGTTTTCTCTCTTAGCTATGATATGACTAATGGTAGTATGGTTTTCAAGCAAGATCTGAAACGAACTTCCTTCGGCGGTTTTCCATTCCAACCATACCACCATTAGCTATGATATAGCTAATGGTGGTATGGTTTTCAAGCAAGATCTGAAACGAACTTCCTTCAGCGGTTTTCCCTCTTAGCTATGATATGACTAATGGTGATATGGTTCTCAAGCTAATCTGAAACGAACTTCATTCAGTGGTTTTCCCTCTTAGCTATGTATAGCTAATGGTGGTATGGTTTCAAGCAAGATCTGAAACGAACTTCCTTCAGCGGTTTTCCCTCTTAGCTATGATATGACTAATGGTGATATGGTTCTCAAGCTAATCTGAAACGAACTTCATTCAGTGGTTTTCCCTCTTAGCTATGTATAGCTAATGGTGGTATGGTTTCAAGCAAGATCTGAAACGAACTTCCTTCAGCGGTTTTCCCTCTTAGCTATGATATGACTAATGGTGGTATGGTTTTCAAGCAAGATCTGAAACGAACTTCCTTCAGCGGTTTTCCCTCTTAGCTATGTATAGCTAATGGTGGTATAGTTTTCAAGCAAGATCTGAAACTAACTTCATTCCACGGTGTTCCCTCTTAGCTATGATATGACGGGTTTCAAAAGACGGGTAAACCTTTTCCTTTAGAGACGGCAACGCACGAGTGGTACCCTTAGTACTGCAAGTGTCCATGGGCACCAGTGACCACTTAACATCAGGTGGACTGTCAGCTCGCAGCCTGCATAAACATTAACAAGGAACAAATAACGTTTCATATATTAAACTAGCGGCCCACCCTCGCTTCGCTTCGGTGTAGAGCTGAAGTGTAGACTGCAGTTTTTGTTCTCAGGCTTGTATTATACACAATGACATTCATCTATGATTCTTCTTATACCTGCATGTAAAGTCTCAGCCCGATCGGTTTAAAATTGACAAAGTTTCGTACAAACTTTCATTCCCTATTTTATCCCCTACCTACGTCATAACATCTACCTGCATGCCAAATTTCATCCCGATCCGTCCAGTGGTTTGGGCTGTGTCAGATTACTATGTTTTTTTTTTGAAAATCGGACTGGCAACACTGCTGAGTTGCATTCGTAAGAGGAAACAATATTTTCGCTTCGTAAAACGGTTTAACTCTTCTCAGTGGAAAGCGACTACGAGTTTTATGTAAATGTATCTATCAAATTAATACACTTCTTGTGCTAGGTCAACAAGTTTTTTTAGTTATAAAAACAGTTAAACGGTCGAATTTAGACAATTTAATTTTATAAGTACTTAGTTTTATGACTTATTTTTGATTTAATGTCTTCAAACAACTCAAATGCAACAAGAATAATCGTATGTTATATTTTACATTTTTTTAAAACTAGCAAACCAGTGAACCAAACCTGATTTAAAAAAAAAAAGAAAAAAAATGTATTTAATTAATTGAGAACTTCGGAGATTTTGTGTGGTTTCGTTTGTAATTCGTGATTTCTCGAAAACCGGAAGTGCTACGTTACTCAAATCCGGTTTGTAGTCTTATCAGACTATTCTTAACGTATAACTTAAATATTCTCTTTATCTATCTCTTACGGTTTGGCCGCTGAAACAGCACCACTGACAGACGGACGGACGGACTTGTCTAATAGATAAGAGATTTTAATTAAGGCGCGAGCTAGGCGGCCACGGCCGTTAAATGGCCGTTGCGGCCAAGTGCGAATGTTTTTTTTTTTTAAGTTAATCTGGTCGTTGTCGCCACAGACCGTGGTCGTGGTCATCTAGAGCTAGAAGTGCCTTAATTAGAATTAAAAAAAAAATACATAATTTTATATACGATTATTCTTATAGCCTTAGAGTCGTTTGAAGTCATTTCATCTATATATATAAAAGAAAGTCGTGTTAGTTACACCACTTATAACTCAAGAACGGCAGAACAGATTTGGGTGAAAGTTGGTAGGGAGGTAGCTTAGAGCCAGGAGACGGACATAAGATACTTTTTATCCCGTTCGACAGCGTTCCCGTGTGACTTGACATGAAACGTCAGTCAATTTTTACCAGGTTTATGTTTTTAACCATGTAATAACTGCGCTCAGTTTCTGTACCTATTAAATTACTACATAGTATAAAGCAAAGTCGCTTCCCGCTGTCTGTCCCTATGTCCCTACGTATGCTTAGATCTTTATGCGGATATTGATGCGTTTTTTTTTAATAGATAGAGTGATTCAAGAGGAATGTTTATATATATAATACATGCATAAATAAAATAGTAAGAAACACTAATAATTTTAGAGGTTTTTAATGTAAGGTTGTATATAAACACATTTTTTTGCGCTTACGTTGCAAACGCTGGCTGAACCCTTCGAGATAGATCAAAATAACGTACTACAGTATTTTACACCTTAAAAATGAGCGATTCCGACGCTACCGGGCGGGGGGCCTGGCGGCGCGTGCCTATTAAAATTAGGTATTAAAAGAATGTCATTTTGTATAATACAAGCCTGAGAACAAAAACTATAGTCTACACAACAGCTCTACACCGAAGCGAAGCGAGGGCGGGCCACTAGTTATATATCACACTAATATTATAAAGGCGAAAGTTTGTGAGTATGTGAGTGTGTATGTTTGTTACTTCTTCACCTCTAAACGGCTGGAGCGTTTTCAATAAAATTTGGTATGGAGTTAGCTGACACCCTGGATTAACACATAGGCTACGTTTTACTGCGGGAAATTATCCTTAATAAACTGCGGGTAATACCGCGGGGCACAGCTAGTAAAACATAAAACTAAGTACCTACATATAAAATTACATTGTCTAAACTTGACCGTTTAACTGGTTTTATATTTAAAAAAAAACTTGTTATCCTTGTACAAGAAGCGTATTAATTGGATGCATTTACATAAAACTCTTGGTCGCATTACACTTTTAAAGAATTTAAATTTAAACTATTAATGTATATTTAATCATTATGTAATGAAAGGTGACTTCATGAATCATCTCTGGAGTCATTTTTCAACTTGACGATTCTGTAAATAATAAAACAGGGAGTAAAAACAGCCCTTGCTGAGTTTCTTGCCGGTTCTTCTCAGTACAAGGTCTCCCGCCCCGTAGATTAGCGAACCGATGGCGTAGCTTCTAGACATTCATGAGTGCTTGTAACAATCTGAATTGAATAAATGATTTTGATTATGATTACAGAGAAGAGTTAAACCATTTTACAGAGTGAAAATATTGTTTCCTCTCACAGAAGAACTCTGCAAATCTTACTCTTTTTAGAAGAAGCACTGGTATTAATTTTTTCATTGCAAGTAAGACGGAGAGTTACAAGTAGAAGATTATATTGAATAAATATTGAGAATAAATATTTTACTAGACAAAAAATAATATTGGTTTGGTTTTATAAAACCACGATGCAAGTGAAACTTTATATAGATTTTGCAATTGACTTAAAATTTATCTGGTCTTAAAAAAAGTGAGCATCGAGCTCGATGGCGCAAGTGGTTAGCGCGTTCGGCTGTAAAAGTTGTGGTTAAGCAACTTTCGCAGTGGTCGGTCATTGGATGGGTGACCAAAAATTTACTATCTCGAGCTCCTTTATGCTTCGGAAGGCACGCTAAACCATTGGACCCGGCTGCATCTGCACTCGTTAGCACCCATTAATCCGCACTGGGCCCGCGTGTTGAGTCTTGGCCCAAAGTCCCTATTCCATCCTCAGGGAAGGCCTGTGTCCCAGCAGTGGAGACATTAATAGGCTGATGAAGATGAGCTGATGTTAAGTGTAAGTGGAATCCAGTTGCAAAGATAGATGATATTTTATGTAGTGTCTTCTGTGGTGGAGGTTGCTTCCCCAGACGGGAGCACTTATTAATAATTCTAGAACATGCGAGAAAAGAAAGCAATATCATCTATATATATAAAACTCAAAGGTGACTGACTGACATAGTGATCTATTAACGCACAGCCCAAACCACTGGACAGATCGGGCTGAAATTTGGCATGCAGGTAGATGTTATGACGTAGGCATCCGCTAAGAAAGGATTTTGATCAATTCTACCCCCAAGGGGATAAAATAGGGAATGAAACTTTGTCAATTTTAAACCGATCGGGCTGAGGTCTGACTTTGAATGCAGGTATAAGAATCATAGATGAATGTCATTGTGTATAATACAAGCCTGAGAATAAAAACTGTAGTCTACACTTCAGCTCTACACCGAAGCGAAGCGAGGGCGGGCCGCTAGTTTTATTATATTATCTAAAAAGTTTACTTCATCTTAATTTCAGTACGTCCGAAGTGAGGCGTTATGGCAACTCCAGGAAAAGTTGGGGGGATCTCCCTTGAAGATGAATACAAGAAGAGACTTTGATCTCCAAGTCAGACATCCAGAAGTTGAGGGAGTGGATGCTCACGCAACCTCATCTGCCGGCTGACGAAATCACAGGTTTGTGAAGAGTTTCCTAGTCAAATAGTTTTGAATTGCGATCCAGTATGATGTTCGAATCCCGGTGCAGGCAGATGTTTGTGTGATGAATACAAGCATTTGTACTCCAGTCATGGATGTTTAATATGTATTTGTTTGTATATAAATATACTTATATATGTACTCTATATTTATTCTATCCGTTACCCTAGTATCCCATAACACAAGCCTTGCAGTGCTTACTTTGGGGCTAGGCTAAAATTGAAATGAAATGAAAAGTCATTTATTCAGTCTAGGCTGTCACAAGCACCTGTGAAGGTCAAGAAGCTACGCCATCGGTTCGCAAAACTACAGCGGGAGACCTTGTACTGAGAAGAACCGGCAAGAAACTCAGCAAGGGCTGTTTTTTTCTCCCTGTTCTGTTTACACGTATTGTAAATGTATTCTACGTTTCTTGAGCGACAATTTAGCCGATAGGTAGTCACATGCTCGCCGGCGTGGCGGGCTAACTACCAAAATGTTGTTTGTCAAACAACCTTTAAAAAAAGATCTACCGATAAATCTTAATTTTATTGAGCAGAGCCTCGTATTCTAGCACACACTAAGACCGTGCTAAGACACACGCTTGCACCACACCTACAAGCGCATTTACACTAACGTAGGCATAAGCACCTAACTTCTAAACTAATTTAGATCTTTATCATAGTTTGTTGGAATTTATTAGAATTTTATGTTATCTATTTTAAGGAAGACCAATATCTCCTGACACAGGCCAGTTAAGCTTAAAAGGAGATGCTGGTCATAAGTTTAAGATCACATTATGATTCAAGCCAATGAAAACATATTATTATCTTTACTAGCAAACCAGTGAACCAAATGTTCACCAAAACTTATTTAAAAAAAAATGTATTTAATTAATTGAGAACTTCGGAGATTTTGTGTGGTTTCGTTTGAAATTCGTGATTTCTCGAAAACCGGAAGTGCTACGTTACTCAAATCCGGTTTGTAGTCTTATCAGACTATTCTTAACTTATAACTTAAATATTCTCTTTATCTATCTCTTACGGTTTGGCCGCTGAAACAGCACCACAGACAGACGGACGAACGGACGGACTTGTCTAATAGATAAGAGATATTTGTTATTTTTCAAGCATGTAACTGCTAGATGTTTTAATCTAAGGAAAATTTTACTGAAACAAATTCCACGCGGACCAGGCAGCAGACGGGACTCTAACACACACCCTTCGCTATCCGGGCAAATTTACTGACCATTATGCTACCGCGGCCCTGTTGGCCGTGTCGATTTCTATCTAGCCTTTCTCAAGCTGCATCGCAGCGCCATCTCTTGAATATTTAACGACCTCCGTGGCCGAGTGGTTTGAACGCCGGGGTTCATGGTGTCGCCGACTCGAGAGGTCCTAAAGGGTTCGAATCCCGGTGGGGGCAGATGTTTGTGTGATGAATACGAGCATTTGTACTCCAGTCATGGATGTTTAATATGTATTTCTATATAAATATACTTATATATGTACAGTGTATGTATTCTATCCGTTACCCTAGTATCCCTTAACACAAGCCTTACAGTACTTACTTTGGGGCTAGGCTAATTGGTGTGAGTGTTGGAAATATTTATTATTATTATTATTATTTCAAATCGCTAGGATATACTAGATGTTGCTATAAGTTTAATGATAATATATTACACATAGAAAATCCTGCTGGAATTATCGGAACAGTTAAAAAACAAGCATTTCATATTGAAACATGTGGAACTTTCTAGAAGGATGTTTTAATCGTCATCATCAGCCGATGTACGTCTAGTGCTGTAGAAGTAATTAATTAATTTAATAAATAGTTTTAATGATAATGCCAGTACAGACCTTCAGATTTCTAACTACGTCATTACATTATCTATCTATACTTATAATAAATCTGTAGAGATGTCAATTCTGTACATGAAATATATTTTCAAAATAACTATCAGGGGGTGATTAGTGATCGATACTGATGCCAAAAATGCAATCAGTAAATTTTTTGTCTGTCTGTCTGTCTGTGTGTATGTTCCTTATAGAAACAAAAACTACTCAACGGATTTTAACGAAACTTGGTACAGTTATTCTTCATACTCCTGGGCAGGTTATAGTATACTTTTCATCACGTTACAATCAATAGCAGCAGAGTAGTGAAGGGAAATGTTGGGAAAACGGGAGAAGTTACTCCATTTTTTAAGCTTCCGTCGCGTGTGCAGCCTTAATGGTTAAAGTTACATAAAAATCATGTATGACGGAAATATTCTACATAAAATTGTCTAAAAAATATCCCGCAACAGCATATGGCTATCTTTTATGGTTGACTCACAATAACACGTGTAATTATATAAATAAAGTCATTGTTTATAGCACAAGCCTGAGAACAAAAACTATAGTTTACACTACAGCTCTACACTGAAGCGAAGCGAGGGCGGGCCTCTAGTTAATAATAAAATGACTGTCACACATCACGTGCATATTAAAAAATAACAAGTCTTTGATGAGAACAAGTTTTGGATACCGAACTTTGGTCTTGGAATTAATTCTGACCTTCCATTTGATTTCTTAAGACATTAAAGTATTTTTAAGAAGATGATAACTATAATTGCTATTTCTTCTTTCAAATGTTTAATACTTGTAAAAGTATTCATTTGACATTGTGGGTTACCTACAAAGCGAAGATATGGCGATGCCTTGCAGCTTAAAAAAGGCTAGAGAAAATTCGACACAGTCGTCAGGGCCGCGGTTGCATAATGGTCAGTGAATTCGGCCGGATAGCGAAGGGTGCGGGTTCGAGTCCCGTCTGCTGCCTGGTCCGTGTGGAATTTTTTCTAGTAATATTTTCTATAGATTCACACATCGAGCAGAGTTAAATGCTTAATAATAATGTTAAATGCGTTTACCATCTTCAAAGCTCGTTCTTTTGCCGCATTTAATAATACAATCGTTATACACCAGTACGAATGGCACTGTATTCGGAAAACTTATATGTGTGTATGTTAAGAATGAAAATTTTGGAAAATCAAAAAGTGCACACCTCACATTCACGAAACAGAAACTCCATTGAAGAGTAAATAAATTCCATTGAATTTCATTAATATCTTTAAAACGGTTATCAGTTCAATCATGATAAGAAATAGGGTTCATCCTCAGTATAAGTGGAAATTAATTCAAAAGGATTTATTACAATTAATTGCGTATAATTTTCTAAAACGTGCAGACAAACAAGTGCACAGACCAACGGACATCAGTACTAATAAAAAAAAAAACTTAATTTTTTTGTTATAATATATACTAAAAAAATAAATGAAAACATACGCTGACTTTATAATTTAATATGTCTCGTATTCAAAACACCCTTTTTGCCAAAACAACTTGGGAGATAAGAGCGATTTTATATTGTAAAATCGTCACATAGCGGCCTATCGAGAGTAAAGCACTCCCACACGGTTACGCGTTGTAAGGCGTGCAATACAGTATATTTACAGTATGTGTAGGGAGCAGGCCCGTGGGGAGAATAGCTAAGGAAAACTGGGAGACTTGCCGTGTTGGGAGGATTGAACCATTTTTTTTTGTTTCCTCCCAGTCGGGGGAGAGGGTGAGAAATCCTCATGGATACCCTACAGCCGGCTGTAGGGTTATGTCAGACTCTTACTGACTAAAAAACACCCTTTAATCATGCTTATGGCCAGAAGGGCCTTACAAGCTTCATCTGAAGCGATCATACCCCGAGAGGGGGATGATGCGGCGCTGCGTTGGTTTAAACTAGTGCATAGTTTAAAATAACGCAAAATGCGCTTAGAGGACAAGTGCACTCAGATGTGCACTTGGAACGGGAGGGGACTGAGCGGAATCGAACCTCTCTGTGTCGGGGGGGCGGGGGGACTCTACCGCAAGTGTTGGATCCTCAGCGGCCAGGAGGGCCGCGAGGTCGCGTGTGAGTTTATTGTGTGTGGCTGTGAGTGCGTGTTTGGGCCTACGGGGCCTGTAGCGAGATGGAGTGTGTGGGGCGTATCCCGACGCCGACCTAATGAGTGGATTAGAGTGCTCTTCTGCAGCTTTGAAGAACCGTTCCGAGCACTCTGTGAGAATTGAACCATCTTTTCAATTGTATTTAAATATAGCGCAAACAAAACGTCAATTCGTTAATATGTTACATGGGAGACTGTTTTGTTGTGTTTGGCATCTCGCATGTGACCAACGATCGAAATGACGTGTTGTTTGCCCTAAAGGAGATTGCTCAGCTTCCATACATGTTTGGCCTAAAGATCACTAATCATGAAAAATTGTTTCCTAGATTCGAAATTATATATAAATTACTGTAGAAACGAATATTATTGACGGACACCCCTGAGAACTTATATAAACCATATACACTGGATGATTTTGAGGTTATGTTTGCAAATAGGTACATAGGTATTAAAATAATAAAAAACAAATAAGTTATATAGTAAACTAGGGAAATCAAGCCAAGTACCGAAATTGTGTATTAGATTCAGGTATATAGAGCATGTAGATTAACAGATAGTTGCCTGTTTTTAAAGTTAATGCACAAGAGTAACTTTTAAAATCAGGTATCATATCATCTATGCATTTCCGGTTATAATAAGGAAGGTACTCTGTGACAGAAACTGTGTGATGATTGTGAATGAGCCACAGATTAGAGAGAATTTTTAAACTCTCGTTGACCAAAGAAAGCTAAGAGATTTAGGTTATACAGCTATATCATCAGTAGCTTCATTATTTTTTGTTATGTTTACATTATAACCATATTTTAGATTTTTAGTGTATCAGACCTTATAATGTGTTTATTTTAATGTATGGCAATAGACTTTATGATGTCGCCTACCATTTATAATAATTGTCTTAGCATATTTGCATGTAGTGTAATAGTTATTTATTATACAAGAGTGGAAAGTTCCTTTTTAACCGCGTGCTCGATTTGGATGACCGAGCAAGCGAAGGATTCTAAAGTTGAATCACGAGCGCAGCGAGTGATTCTAAATTAGAATCCTGAGCGTCAGCGAGGGAAACAAACGAGCACAAGGTGAAAAATCTTTCCACTCGAGTGCAATACGTAACTTTTCATCCCACCTCAGCGAGGAAATGACAAAATGAAAAAGAAAACAATTTATAATGACAAAATATTTAAGCAATAAAACGTGAAAAACTAGAATGGCGCGAAGCACGCAAATAAAACAAAGAAACCAAGAAGGTTCCAAATTTAAATTTTTTCACAATTTAAAAAGTTCTAATCATAAATTTGGCACCATAGAGGTTACATTAAATAGGTTTAATGACGTTTTGAATTTACAATTATATTGAGTACTCATTATATGTGATGTTCTAAATTCAAATCTACTTTGCCGCTCAAGCGAATAAAATAGAATTTTCCAGCCAGATTTCGAAGCGCAAAATTACACTTTCCGAGGTGGTGGGATGAAAATGATTATTAATACCACAGTGAATAAAAAAATGTTTTATTTTATCAATCTTTACAAAAAGATTTGATTTTATGTTATATAAACTTGGCTGAATGTTACTACACCCATAGCCATTAAAAATGATTCGTATGTTTTTCAAACCGGTAAAATAAAAGTCCTTTTTAAAATGAATATATTATACAAAGGTGTCCGTTAAAATCTAATGACTGTAAAATAAAGTATAAATTACGCCAAGAATTACCGTATATGTCAATATTTTTTGTACATTTGGGCCAATTTGAGCAATCTCCATTATAAACTATTTTGGAAAATGGTTCAATAGTCGGGAATCTGGTCAAGCCTTCCGGTTTTGCCTTAGTGTAGGTATCATGATCAATGCAGAATATGATGAACTTCATTTGTCATTACTCAGTAAGAAATACGATCCAGTTTTATTTTTTTAAATTAAGGTAGGCAGATGACTCTACCCCACTTGATGTTAAGTGGTTGTTGTATCAGTTGGTATCAACATCAACATACAATCAGTGCATCTAGAAATGCTGAGTAGTAGGTGCTAATCATACACTTAATACGGAAATTGTAGCTCATTTATACATTATACAGGTGTTACAATAGCTTATCATCCAATTATGCACCACTTAAGCGCGGAAACATAAATAATGAAAATTACGTTCTACGAATGGATATAATTGCAGTCCTTACTGCCGGGTGTCATTAAAATTATGATAATTTAAACGATTATTACAAAGTTGTCTATCATAACTCTTCTTGAGTCATAACTTCTTGATGTAAGCACTTGAGGGTATATTTTGTATATTTTTTGCTAATTTACGTTACTACTTTTTACTTTTTTCTTTGTGTTCGCTTATGCAATAAAGTCCTAAGCAAATCTAAGAGTTAATCATAAATTAATTCAAAGATAGTATAAAAAAAGAACTTTTTAAAAATCTTATTACAAAGTGTCTACATTATATTATTATTATTATTATTGTGATTATATTACAGACAAAAATTGAACTGTTCCAACCACTTTTCTATACTTTTCTATATTAAATAATGATTGTATTGATGTTGTAACGACATAATGATTTGTAAATGTTGTTTCATTATACTTTTAATGTTGTAGAGTTTTATTCGCTCGTATTTCTCCGCAGCTAAAAAAATATATCCAATAACGAGAGGAAAATAAAATTTGGACGATTCAAAAGAGTTGTCTATACATCTAATTTAAATAAAGATATATTTATTTCCGATTGATTAAAAATGATATTCCAAAGAGGTAAAGTGCGTAAATTTTGATGCAGGAAATTTACGTGTTCTCAAAATTGCAAACACGATTAAAAAACTTATTGGTGTAAAGTTACGGACTTTTCGATCTTGGCCAGAGGGCCAGTATGGATTAGACTCAGTGCGGATTTTGAGTGGAATGGGCCCAGTGCGGATTGGGCCCAGTACCCTTCCCTATCCACCTCAACATCTCCGTCAAAAAGTGTATCCTATCCACCAATCTGAACTGGGGCTACGCGGTCGTTCATTGCTCGATCCCCAAAATATTAAACAAAACTTTGTAACAAGTCCACAGCCACCTCCGTCAGTGCTCGCCTACATATCTGCCTTTCTAGCTAGCCACCCAGCTGCCTAGCAAGCTACTTTGCTAGGTTGAGACTAAAAAATCTTAAAAAATCGCACACATTAGTGATGATAGGAACCGTACAAGTCTGCGTTCAGAACATGCACTCGGGCGCTGTCAACGTAAGTTTTGACATAAGTCCTTCCTTATGACAGTGTAAATTAAATACATAACATCGGATACATGGTTTATTTACATTATATATTTAAACAAATTTATATATAAATTACGACGACTAATTATAATTTTCTTTATATTAATATATATTATATACGTACTGTATGGTGATGTGGGTTTTTTTCTTATTGTTCTGTTTTTAGTGTTTACGTTTTTGAATGTTTTACAATCCATTAAAGCCACCTTGCACAGGTCCTGCCAGAATAACAGCGCCGACATGGTGAGAGAAGTTTTTTTTATTTTCTCACTATGTTAGCTTATGCTGAGGCAGGGTCCTGGTTGGCCGTCTATAGATTAAGTTATATTTTTGTCATTTACTATGTTTATGATGGTCAATAAATAATTTTTCATTTCATTTCATTTCAAAAAAAACACCTAGCCCCAATCCGCTACGAAATGGCACCCGGTGTTCTTTAGCGACCACCTGAGCTGTCCACTTTAGTGGTCACTTAGGAATACAAATTCCCAACCATCCACCTTGTCTTTTCTTTATGGACAGTCTTCGTCCAAAAAGTTATTCATTGCTTATAATATTTGCATTAAAGTTTTATTTAATTCCTGATTTAATTCATGTTACAGATCTGGACCTGATCCTCGCATACCACTGCTGCGAACGGAGTTCTGGCGTCACCAAGACCGTGCTGGATCTAAATTTCACACTCAAGACTCTCTTCACAAACATATTCAAGGACCGGATTGTCGACGACAAACTCATTAAAACATACAGGACCGCGTATGTACATACATATCAAAAAGATAAAAGCAGATTCTTTACTATGGGAGCAAACAACTATATAAAAGACGAGAGCGTTTTTTGAATCCTGTACCCTAAGGACGAACTTTGACACATCTATAATTGTATCGCTGTCATCAAATTTTCTATGGAAGGAGTCACTTTGTTCTTAAGTTCGGTAGAAGGCATATAGGCAATAATTTAAGTTAAGGCTTAACTTAAATTAAACTTATCTTTATTCTAAATGATGTAATGGAAGGTGACTTCAGAAGTAACTCTGAAGTCATTTTTCAACTTGACGACTCTGTATATAACAATACAGGGAGAAAAAAACAGCCCTTGCCGAGTTTCTTGCCGATTGTTCTCAGTACAAGGTCTCCCACCGTAATATGCGAACCGATGGCGTAGCTTCTCGACCTTTACAAGTGCTTGTAACAGCCTAGACTGAATAAATGATTTTTGATATATCGAGCGGTTTAGTGAGCAAAATTGGTTTATAAAAAGCTAAGGCCCGATATGGCCTCTGATGTAAGGTTTTTAAAAAATAATGATTGGTAACTTGAGAAGCTCGATGGCGCAGGTGGCTAGCGCGTTCGGCTGCGATCGCTGAAGTTAAGCAACTTTCGCAGTGGTCGGTCATTGGATGGGTGACCAAAAATCTTCTATCTCGAGTTCCTCCGTGCTTCGGAGGGCACGTTAAGCCGTTGCTCCCGGCTGCGTCTGCAGTTTTTAGCACCCGCCAATCCGCTCTCCGCGTGGTGGGTCTTTTCCCAATCTCCCTATTCCATCCTTGGGGAAGGCCTGTGCCCCAGCAATGGGAATATTAACAGGCTGATAATGAATGTTTTTTAACATTTCAGATTGTTCCTGCCTTTGAATGTGCGCGCCCATGACGATTCCGCCGTTATCTACTGCGGACTCTTAGATCCTGATTACAAAAATTTCGTTTTCTCAGAAGCGATCAGGTAAAATAATGCTCTTCACATAACTGTTCATGTTTGCTATTTGGGGAGTTGACAGCAGTTTAAAAAAGGTACGAATTGGAGCGCCTGCCTGGGGATGGGACCTCCATCTTACAGAAGATCTCCGATCAGCCTTTTTGTGGTTTTGTGTTTTTGTCGGTGAGTAAAATTACAATACCTCGGCTCACCGGGAAACTTTCAAGAGGCAGTCACCAATGTGAAGGCCGTGGGGGCATTCCTGGAAGAGCTGGGCTCGCTGGAGTGATTCCGGCTATACAGGGTGTATAGCTCGCGCAAAACAGGCGCCATAAGGACGTCGAGTTGCGGTAACGCCCGTTGCAGGAAGAAGAAGAAGAAGAAAGTTCTAGGACTTCACTTAGGATTGGGGCAGGGTAGGTAACGGTGCGAGTGGTAGTTTTGGTATGGCAAGCTTCTTTAGGTTCTCGTCAATCTGCACTAGGTGTTGGGTCATGGCCCATTCTACTATTGCATCCATAGGAAAGGCCTGTCCCTCAGCAGTGGGGAAATAAGTTGGCTGTTGATGAAGCATCTAAAGGTTATGGTGGCCGCTTACCATCAGGCGGGTGATACGCTCATTTGCCACCATTTTAACATAAAAAGTAGTTGATACTTTTTATTACTTTTAAATCATGATAGAGATTTAATGCTGTTAAATTTACAAATAACAAACACTAACAGAAATGTGAAGATCCCTCCAGTAGCTCCCACTCAAAATACTGAGGATTTGGATGCGACCAAAAACTATGGTCGTTTGTTGAATTTTTTTTGCTGTCCTAGACGTTCGGCCCTACATTTCTGTGTAGGGCCAAACGTGCTTAGCACCATACCTGAGCTAGAAAGCTCAGTTATGGTGCAGTCAAAGAAAGTTATTCTAAATGTACAAAGTTGCATCTGTCGCACTCGAGTAAATCCAAATCCAATCCAAAAATCCCCGCTTGGGCTCCCCTACCAACAGTTAAGTGTAGAAATATTTCAATCAAATTTCCAAAAAACAAGTGTTGAAAATAGCAATTTAACAAGCTCATTTTCTCCCGATCCGTTCGAAAACCAAATCTAAGAGCAGTACAATTTCTTCTCGGCTGCAATGTTCATATATTCTTGGTCCTTAGCCTCGGACCTAATTACTATCTATTGGTTATCATTTAATAATAGGAATACATCCAATAGCCTATCCCCAAAGTAAGCACTGTAGGCTTGTGTTAGAAGGTACTGGGGTAACGGAGAGAATACATATACTGATACATATATAAGTGTCATAACTGATAAACATATTTATATAATACATATCAAACATCCATGACTGGAGTACAAATTGCTCGTATTCGTCACACAAACCAGCCCCCCAGGATTCGAATCCGGGACCTCTCGAGTAGGCGATACCTTGAACCACTCGGCCACACCGGTCGTATAATTTTTAGCCACAAACATTGTAAATATTAACGCGATTGCAACCACGTACTTTGTTTTTTGTGAGTCTCCGATACTCCGGCACTGTTGCAAGCGCCATGATCACGGAGTCACTGAAGTAATTGCGTTTACATGGCAGACATATCGGCCTACCCTCTGGTATTGTCCTAATACAACGCGATAACGTAAATGAGCGATGCGATCATCGTACGAGTCGACGATCTAACATATTGATCTAGAATAGGTGTCCTAATAGGCGATCGCGCGATGCATTCGCGCGACTAAAATGTTTAAAAATCTATTCGCGCGAACTTAGTTCACGCGAACGCGCAATCAAACCTATTAATGATGAATAGGTGTCCTAACTGAAGTTCGCGCGATGATCGCGTCGCGTCGATAGGAAGCGGGGAGAGGGGCAGGGCTAACCCGTTCCGTATTCGCGTTCTATTAGGACACCCAGTTCGCGATCACGCGATGGTCGCGTCGTTTAAATGCGCGATGATCGCGTTGTATTAGGACAATGCCTAAGACTTTGTCTTTTATTGCGTTCGTCACCCCTACTCACTCGCACCTGCTCACTCCCTCTTCCATCCCTCCCTTCCAATATCAGAGACTCACAAAAACCAAGATACATGGTAGCAATCCCACTAATAACCAATTACCATCTATCTATCAAGTAGTTTATTGCTTAGAGAATAAAATGTCCAAACTCAGTATTATTTTAACGAATTTGACACTATTCCTTACAGAGCAGTTCTGATGGTACTAGATCTATGGCAGTATCAATCGGGCACGTGGCCTGGCTTCGTGATCCTGATTGACCTGAACCAGATGACACTAGGACACCTGTCCAGGCTTGACCTTCAAACACTCCAGCAGTTCCTCTATTTCCTACAGGTGAACATATTTCATATATTATAAAAACCTGAACTTTCATTTTGATAATCTTTATAATATGAATAAAGGAGTTCTCGTTGTCTTAAATTGAACTAGACACCATGAATATTTCTTAGGTGAGAAATTTAAAAATCCTATAGATAAAAATAGTGAGACTAGTTAAAAACTGTTAAATTACTACGCGTTTACATTAACATTAAAACATGTTAACATAGAGAAGCTTGTTTCTAAAGATTTTTTTAGTAAAATTTTCTTTAGATATAAATATCTAGCAGTTAAATGCTTAAAATAGAAAATATGTAATATAATAGACAAGCTTACCTACAAACTACATAATGTAAAACTACATTATGATAGTGGTTCAAAAGCTAATAATTTTTTAGCCCAAAAATTACATGCGCACACATATAGTTTTATTTTATATCCTAGTTTACACCGGAAAATAAAAGGTTTTTGAGGGATTCTCAGAACACTTACTATGACGAGGACGAAGTAACGGGTTGAAGATATACTTAATTAACTTTTAAAGTTTCTTTGTATAATTTGACCCTTGTAAAGAAGGTCAAAAATAAGTAATAATAAGTAGCCCAAAATCGATCTAAGTGGCGTTCAATTGGAGAGGCCTATGTCCAGCAGTGGACTAGGATAGGCTGTTGATGATCATGATGATGATGAAAGAAGGTCATTTGTATGGGAGAAATTCTAGTTTCTTTTTATTATTATTTTATTGTAAGCATTAGCAGAGGGTTCGGATAGCGGAAGGTACGGATTCGAGTCTCGTCTGCTGCCTGGACTGCGTGGATATTTTTTTAGTAAAATTTTCTTCAATTTTATTTTTATTCCCAGGAAGCACTGCTGTTAAAGCTAAAGGGCCTACACTTTCTGAACGCACCGTCTTTCATGGACAGGCTAATGATGCTTCTTAAGCCATTCCTAAAGAAGCAGCTACTTGACGTTTTGCACATCCATCAAATCGGCTCTAAAACCCTAGACGCGTATGTGCCGATGGAAGGCCTTCCAAAAGAAGCAGGCGGGAAGTTCAAGAGCTGTACCGAAGCAAGAGGTATATACCTACTAAAAAAAATAGAGGTTTAGCTAGCTTCGTTGATTTTTTAATCCTTATAACTTGGGTTTAGTTTACACCAGATAAACAAAATTCTCGGGATATGTTGTCAAAAGTGAACTTATAAACGTATAATGTTTTAATTGCACAGTTCTCATACTTTAGATTTTAATGACATCTAAAAAAACCCTGATTTCGTTACTGACTCACTCGTCATTTTCTAATTTGTGGCTTGGCCGTTTAGTAACTAGAGTCGCTGCGGAATAAGAATGGGAGTGGCGAAAAACAGAACTAATATAAGATTTTTATTTGGCAATCAAACCCAGCAATCTGTAAAACGTCAAAGTTTTGTATTGATACGGATTTGTTTGTTATTGTGATTTCTTGCGGTTTTTTGTATTTAATCATGTCTAAAAGGGGTAAAACCTTACAAATACGGTAAAAAAGCACTGCAGCGCCCTCCAATCTAAATCCCATTCTCTTTCCGCACAGACTCTACAAGAAATATTTTGTAACATAAAAGTAATAAACAGTGGATATATTTTTACTTTATGCCCATGTGAATATCATGTTATACATATTATACATCATAATTTGACTTAGGTGTAAGTTTTTGATTTGTTTTTTTTTTACTGAAATACACAACATAATGATGAATATTCTAAAACTTGTCAAATATCCTATTAGTAAAATGTTTTAATTTTTCTTCACTCAGAAATCGTCGTAATTATGTTTATTCCACAATTGATTAAATATATTGACTACTAGGCGTTTACTAACTCTATAGCCTTATCGAAGTTTGCACTGAGACATAATGTTGATAAGTAAAGTGAGTTATTTTTTTATATTTCAGATGATATTATTGAATGGGTAAAAGAAAATCAGGAGTTCTTTAAAGAAGAAAATAAGAAGCGAGTGAACGAATCAAACAGACCTGGAAAACCTAAAACTATATCAGACATATTTGGTGGCGTAGAAGGCTCGTTTAAAAAGTTAGATATAGATTAATTTCTAGCTAAATAATAATTTTAAACATCTAAAGAGTGTCCTGAGAAGAAGGACTGCTTGGGCAAGGGAGACAGATCTTTGAATTTGATATAATATTGGCTGGGTGCAGTAGAAGAATTTGTATATTATTTCATAAGAAAAGCAAAACAAAAAAAATATTTAAAGCTAAGGCAAAGCCTGATTTTATACATCATGAATTTGGAGTTACATAAGAAACTTAAAAATCGTATAAATAAAATTAATGTGAATGATCAACAGTAACATACTACAGCCCAATAGAAAAGCATTGATTTATATCTTTACAAAATATCTTAAAAGGGCGTAAATTATCTATTATATGTATATGGAATTATTTTTTTAAAGTACGTAGATCCTAAAAGTATTTTTTGTGAACCAATTTTTGCAGTTAAAATTGTTAAGGTTTCATAATTACACAATTGGTGAGTTAATGTTTCCAAACATTTCTCGAAAAAGAAATTTATGACTACTGCACCAGATAGCTTCGCGTCTGGACTTTACCACCACTTAACATCAAGCGGGGTAGAGCCATTTTCCTAAAAGAATTTCAACGGAGGTTCTGGCTTACAAAATTATAAGTTTTGAATCTCTGAAAGAGGAGTAAATGCCAAATGATTTTCTACGAAATTAGGTTGATGCCATCCGCTTATATGCACAATTATATTATGACACCAAAAGTTCTGTATTTAAAGATAGACCGTCGGAAATCTTATTGATCTTCCGAAATACTAGGGTTTGAATATGGTAACATTTAAATTTGATAATATCTGGCTATGTTTTGTTTGGTTTAAGAGAAATATATTTGTGGTTGTGGTAGGGTGATGAAATAGAATGTGTGTGTTCTACGCAAATATTTTTTGTTACTAGATGAGGAATGCAAATTTTCTCAATACAAGCTCTTCGAGTGTTTGTTTAATAATTTATTTCATTTGTATGTGATATCAGTCTTTAAAAAAATTATATATAAAGTTAAAATGATCATCTTCTTTTATTTAACTTGCAATGTAAAACAATTTTAAAGCAAATGTTTTCGTTCGATTGAGCTGAAATGTTGTACACACGTTTAGTTTAGATGACAATGTATGGTGAGCTATGTGACGACATTCTTAATCCAATATGGCGGAACATGCAAAATGGCGGACTAGTCATTTTTAATGCAGTCCTATAATAAGTCTATTACTTGAGACGGCTTGCTAAGAATAACTCGAAATAAAAAGTGACGTTACCTTAAATCCAATATGGCGGACTTAAAAAGTTAGCAAATTAAGGTTTTTATGATTTTCCTACATTTAGGGTAACAAATGAAAGGGCTTGCTGTGAATAACTCGAAAAATAAAGTGACGCTAACTTAAACCCAATATGGTGGTAATATAAAACGAAGAAAAACTTTTTTTAAACAAGCTTTTATTTAAATGCTCTAAAAAGAATAAAATTAAATTTTCCTTTAAAACTTTTACTATGAACTCATAACGTCATTACACAATTTATATAGTATAAAATGTTGTCGCCAGTTACACTATAAAATTTGAAAACAAAACAATTCGATAAAATTTGTTTATCTGCACAGGTAAATCTCGCGACAAGTTTTTATAATATATGAATTATATAATGTCTTTATAAAATCATAGTAAAAGTTTTAAAGGAATTTCCTTTTTAGCGCATTTAATAAAATAAAAGCTTATTTTATAAAAAGGTTTTAATACTATAATTCTAGCAGTATAAGTTCGTGCTTCGGAAGGCACGATAAGCCGTTGGTCCCGGTTGCATCTGCAGTCGTTAGCACCCGCCAATCCGCACTGGGCCCGCGTGGTGGGTCATGGCCCAATCTCCCTATTCCATCCATAGGGAAGGCCTGTGCCCCAGCAGTGAGGACATTAATAGGCTGATGATGATGATGATGATAATAATTATAAGTAGAATGCGTAATAGTTGAGTATACTAGTATGTCGTGGGTGCTTATAATGTTTAGAGTTATTGCAATTCCTTTTATGTGATCCATACTTAATTTTTTTAATGCGAAACGGTGTCTGTCTGTTGCTCTGTCTGCTTGTCTGTTACCTCTTCACACTTAAAAAGCTCAACCGATTTACATGAAATTTGTTATACAGATAGTTTTAGTCCCGAGATTAGGACATTGGCTAGTTGCATCCTTTATATCATCAAATTAAATTAAACAATTTTTAACAGGTAAACAGCGTGTATATATTTATTTCTTCTTTGTTGACGTTTCGGGTATTTTAAATAAATTTTCATTAAACTGTATTATAGATAGATAGATAGTGCGCCTTTGAAACTAAATATGGCAATGCCGTGAACAGTTAGTATCTGATGATTTTTTCTAATAATGATTTTGCAGGCGTATTGTATTTTTTCAAATAACATGACAAAGAAACAGAACTAAGAAAAAAATAGTATTTAAATTGAAAAAAGAAAAAACATTTTGAGAACTAATATTAGGAAAATACTTTACCTCTCAATTAGATCCCATAGATCTAATCGAAATTCGTCGAATTAGATAGGTGTATAATTTCTAAGTCATGGAATCAAGTTATATTTTAAGCATGTAACTTCTCGATGTTTGAATCTAAATAAAATATTACCATTAAGAAAATTTTTGGGTTTCCATATACCTACAATGCGAAGAAATGCTGCCTTGCAGCTTAAGAAATTCGCCACGGCTATAAGGGCCGCAGTAGCATAATGGTCAGTGCATTCGCCCGGATAGCGAAGGGTGCGGTTCGAGTCCCGTCTACTGCCTGGTCCGAGTGGATTTTTTTTCTAGTAATCTTTTCTTTAGATTTAATCATTGAATCAAATTAAAAGAAAACTGATCATTTTAGTTATTGATCAGGCATTAAAATATACTACGTCAATATTATTTAAATCTCTTTGTTATTGATTAATTTACTTTGATACCTCTATATGAAATTGTCTTGCTCAGGTTCACTAACTCTTTATTTAATTTTTATTCCCAAACCGTTTATTTCTGACTAAAAAAAATAAGATTCTACATTAACGGAAGACAAAGAATATATCCCCAACTGTGATAGTTGAATCACTTACTAAAACTCAGCTTCAGTTTCACATTCTTGAAACGTCAAAAGTGTGGATATTTAATTTACGCGTAAAGATGATTCTGGCTTAATAAAATATGAGTTGAGAGGCAAAATACTAAGTGTCGCCGCACACGGGCCACACGCCACAGCCACAAACGCCGCCACGAGAAGCTAGAAGCAGCTACTAAAGTGGCTGAAGCGCGCGACAGCGGCCGACTAAGGTAAGGGGGAGAGAGGTGGGAAATCGCGCGACACGTGTGGCGGCGTTTTGTATCGGCGCATTAAGTGTCCGGTGCGGGCCACAAGAAGCGAGCAACGACGATTTGTAGTGTGTGGTGGCCACCGGCGTACCGTGTGTGGCGAGTCCATATATAATGTATGAAAACTACAAGAAATATGCCGGCGGCGGCGTTTTGTGGTTGTGGTCGGTGACCCGTGTGCGGCGACACTAAGAGAGACATAGCAAAGCATAGCAGTACAATAATGCTCTCAGGGTGCTGTTGGGTTTGCCGTGGTGTTGTAGTGCCTCAAGTCTGTTTGCAGATATTTTTTATAGATAGGTCCGACAAATGACTCCACCCCACCTGATCTTAAGTGATGGTGAAGTCCACATGTGAAGATAGCTGGTAAAGCAGTTCTACCTGCCACACCAGCCATCCTCACCTTGCCGGCTTGAATGTTGCTTCTTCACGCCTCTTTTAAAGGATCCCAGGTTATAAGAAGGACGTGAGCGGGCAGAGCATTCCATTTACGGATAGTGCGACAAAGAAATGAGTCACCAAATTTCTTTGTACGCGTTGGAATTGTGGCCACAGTTAGACGGTGACACCGAAGGCCAGCGCGCGTGGTCCTCTGAAGGAAAGGGGAAGGTGGAATAAGAGAGAATAACTCTTCAGAACACTCGCCGTGGTACAGACGATAGAACGCGCTTAGTGACGCAACGTCACGGCGTAAGAGACTGGAGGTGTTTAGTCAGGTGACCTCATCGCCTATGTTGTGGATCGCACGCCGCTGTAACCTATCCAAAGCATCGAGCAAGTACTTGGCGAAACCATCCCATAGGTGCGAGCAATATTCTACGCAAGACCGCACCTGCGTCTTATACAACAAGCACAGTTGCTCGGGCGCGAAAAAGCGCCGCACCTTGTTCAGGACTCCGAGTTTGCATGAGGCCGTTTTAACCACGCTTTCGATGTAATTCTTTGGATTTAAGTCACAGCGAATTTCCATACCGAGCATGGTGATACTGCTCAGATGTGCATATTGACGGCTTTCATGCCATAATCAGGAAACGCTGCGCGGCACTACTGGTTAGAATACGTGGCAGCACCAACAGCATCCTGTCGGCACTGGTTGACAGGTGGGATTCTCCACTGTTGGAGCGCTGGTTGCATCTGCCTGCGAAGCCCCCGGGCCACGTGTAGGGGGTGCCTTGTGTTCCAGCAGGAGATGATTATACTATTTTTATTTGTAATCTATTTTATACTTTACTAACATAGTTTTTAAGGCACATTGTTTCTAACATACTATGGACTGTATAATATTGTCTGAGAAAAAAATATTATTCTTATTACACAGTCAGGTCATAAGTATTGTCACACTGTAAAAACTTTTCTTTTAGAATGCTGACCACAAAAAAGTTTATTGAATTCGAATTTCTAATTGTTCATGAAAATAAAAATGTATACTACATTACATACATTTTTAAATATGGAGTGGAATTCAATATTTTTGACATACTGAAAAAATTGAATATAACCAAAAGATTCGTTTATCGTACCATCAAACGAGAACAATGAAGACTCTAGTGTAGATGACAGGTCAAGAAGTGGTCGCCCTCGGTCTGTTAGGACTCCAGCAGTGATAAAAGTTGTGAAGGCCTGTATTCAAAATCACGGAGGTCATTTTGAATAAACTTTATTGTCATAAGAATCTATGTTTTGTTAAGTTCATTTTGGTATATAAATGGTTACATCTATACTTATAATAAATCTGTAGAGAGGTCAATTCTGTACATGAAATATATTTTCAAAATAACTATCAGGGGGTGATTAGTGATCGATACTGATGCCAAAAATGCAATCAGTAAATTTTTTGTCTGTCTGTCTGTCTGTGTGTATGTTCCTTATAGAAACAAAAACTACTCAACGGATTTTAACGAAACTTGGTACAATTATTTTTCATACTCCTGGGCAGGTTATAGTATAGTTTTCATCACGCTACAATCAATAGCAGCAGAGTAGTGAAGGGAAATGTTGGGAAAACGGGAGAAGTTACTCCATTTTTTAAGCTTCCGTCGCGGGTGCAGCCTTGATGGTTAAAGTTACATAGAAATCATGTATGACGGAAATATTCTACATAAAATTGTCTAAAAAATATCCCGCAACAGCATATGTCTATCTTTTATGGTTGACTCACAATAACACGTGTAATTATATAAATAAAGTCATTCTTTATAGCACAAGCCTGCGAACAAAAAGTATAGTTTACACTACAGCTCTATACCGAAGCGAAGCGAGGGCGGGCCACTAGTAATGAATAAACTTGTTTCAATTATTTTATATTAAACATGTGACAGAATTTATGACCTGACTAGGTATATTTCTGTTTTAATTGGAGCGCCCCTCTAGGAACTCCGTGCATCGTTGTCGATCCCAGCCGCTCGCGATCTTCCGTTGTGGCTAACGCGCGCGGCTGATGCTACAATATTCAGTGTATGAAAATCTATGGCGCTATTTTCGAAGTGTGCGACGGACGCATGCGGCCTACGCAAGACGTCGGCACACTAATCTCATAAGCCGCGTGTGACAAGGGTTTCTTTATTATTATTAAAAATAAACACTTTATAAGTTATTAGAAACAAGTGCGTAATATATATTATGGAATTAGCAATGTACGTACGCAAATATCAAACATATTATAAAAGAAATAATAATCTTATTCTTCCCGAACCTAATCTGAAGATGTATAAAAAATGGTTCATTATACCGATCCATATTGATATATAATAAAATTCCCGTTATTATTAAAACAGAATCTAATATAAACATATTTAAGAATAAATTGAAACAGCATCTTATAAAAAAAGCGTATTATTCTGTTCATGAATTTATAAATGAAAAATAAATTTGTTAATAATAAATAAACTTAGTATTTAACTTCATTTAATTTAATTTAATTTCATCATCATCATCATCATCATTTCAGCCAAAAGACGTCCACTGTTGGGCATAGGCCTCCCCCATGGATTTCCACAACGATCGGTCCCATGCTGTCCGCATCCAGCGGCTTCCCGTGACCTTTACCAGATCGTCGGTCCACCTTGTGGGGGGCCTGCCAACACTGCGTTTCCCGGTACGCGGTCGCCACTCGAGGACCTTTCCGCCCCAACGGCCATCGGTCCTGCGAGCAATGTGCCCTGCCCATTGCCACATAAGGTTTGCAATTCTGTGGGCTATGTCGGTGACTTTAGTTCTCTTGCGTATCTCCTCATTTCTGATTCGATCACGCAGAGAAACTCCGAGCATAGCCCTCTCCATTGCCCTTGGGGTGACTTTGAGCCTTCTTACAAGACCCATTGTAAGCGGCCACGTCTCGGTTCCGTATGTCATCACTGGCAACACGCACGAATTGAAGACTTTCGTCTTGAGGCACTGCGGTAGATGTTTCGAGAGGATGCTACGTAGCTTCCCGAACGCTGCCCAGCTGAGTTGGATTCGTCGATTAACCTCTTTCTGGAAGTTGGACTTACCCTACTTACTTGGGTGACGTTATATCACCGAAACTGTTTACAGCTGCGCTGGAAGACGTTTTCAAACTTTTGGACTGGAGCGGACGTGGCATTAACATAAACGGCGAGTACAATTTAATTTAATTTAACTTAATTATGCTTGACCTGTTAATTTGATTTGATTTGTTGTTTGACTTGTTGTCCACTGCGTCGTTAACTTCGTAATAAAATCCACAGCCGTTTGCGAATAACTTAAGTAGACTCCACCATCGAGTTGTTAGCCAAAATGCTTTTATTTTATAAATGTGTATCAAACCTTTAACATATTCCTTATCACTTTTAAGAAAGTTTGTATTGGATATATAATGTATTTCTAGTCTGGATACGAAGACATTTTACAAAATTGAATACCAACTGTGGTTGGTTGATAACATTGCCGTCCATCATAAGTCCATATGTTTTTGTTTTCTTTTAAAGAAAGGAGCATTGTTTTGTTGTACTAACAATATAATAATTATCTTTGAATGTTTTAAAGAGATTTATGTTAGTATAAAATTAAATTATTAGACAACCATAGGCTTTAATAGTTACATTGTAAAAGATGGCGCCACTAATAACTTGTTTGAGGAGGGTGGGTCTAAAGTATATATTCAGATGTCTGTTGATTTGATATTCACTTTGTCATCGAGTCTTCAGATATCAGTGTGCAGCCTAAACAGCCAGGGTCATGTGAGTTAAGTAATAATTTTGCTACTGTGGTTTATAACTTTCATTGGAATGATATTATTGTTTAATATTGTAAGTTATAATATAATATGCTTTTGTCATTTACAATAGAAATTACTTCTTTAATCTTATAAATTCAAATAAGAAGTTTAGTTATTTGTTAGTAAAGATTTTATACTTTGTTTTCATATTTTCGTGTAAATAATCAATAAATAGTGTTTTTTAAAATATTTAAATTTCAAAGGTAGTTCTTTTCTTATAAAGTAAATAAATCTGAGTCTATTGAACAGTTTTATTTCAATTCCATTTCTTTTCATTACTTTATAGAAATTTCAAAGTGTTAAATAAATAAGTAATAAATTACAAAACGCGCATCTGTTGCACGGCATGGAAGAGACACATCACTTCCTCTTTGAAATGGCAATGTTCCAGGGTTTCACGGAGTAGCGATTTGGGTTCAGGGAAGTAGAAATGAAGACGGCTACGGTACACATTCATGCCGCATCATTTTTATTTTAACATGGTAAATGACATTTTGTATTCGTCATTTTCCTTGGTAATGTATACACAATGCATAGATATGTAATGATAGCTTCAATATTAATCAGCAATTTACTACAATGACAAAACTGAAACGATTCAATTGTCAGGAAGTGACTATTTAGCAGTTGAAATACCCGACATTGTACTATTATTAAGTTGAATTTTCACTTCCTAGTTCTTCGCTTATAAACTGTACCCAGGTTTACATGAGGACAGTAGCTGTGCGTCACTAGCAACGATGAGTTTCTCTGGCAAAGTGGTGCTCGTAACTGGGGCCAGTTCCGGCATCGGCGCTGCGACAGCCGTGATGTTCTGTAAAGAGGGAGCTAGTGTGGTACTCGTCGCTAGGAACGAGGCGAAACTGAAGAGCGTTTCAGAACAATGTGCGGCTGCAGGCGGCAAGCATGCCCTTATCAAAGCTGACGTCTCCAGCGACGGTGACGTCAAAAGGATTATCAATAGCACCATCGAGAAATTCAGCAAACTAGACATCCTCGTCAACAACGCTGGCATCATCGCTTACGGCGACATCCTCAGCGGTACTATTCTCGATACGTACGACCAAATCTCGAAAACAAATCTCCGCGCAGTTATTCACGTCACTATGTTGGCTGCACCGCATCTTGTCAACAGTAAAGGGAACATCATAAATATATCTAGTGTAGCTTCACGTATGATTGTAAATAAATTCTCGGCATACTCTACCTCCAAAGCAGGTCTGGATCAGTTTACTCGTTGCGCAGCTGCAGAATTAGCGTCTTCTGGTGTAAGAGTAAATTCTATAAGCCCGGGACCGGTTGATACCGATATTTTTTTCAATGCTGGTGCATTACCTGAATTTGTAGCTCGCGGAATAGAAACTCCGCTTGGACGAGTATCGCAGTCGGATGAGATAGCTGATTTAATTTTATATTTAGCCAGTGATAAAGCAAAAGGCATCACGGGTTCCAATTTTGTGTCCGACAATGGAGTTCTCTTACAAGTTTTTGATAACAAGAAATGAAATATTAGTTCTATATGTTCATAAAAAATAGATAAGGAATTTCGTAATGTTATTATTATTATTATTTTGATAAAAGGTTATTTTGTGCTTGATTGTGTTATTATTTCAAATATAATGTCTTCTTTTTTTATTTTAATTTATTAAAAAATAAACTTGGCTAGCCCAACATTAATTTGATACAGGGGGCGGCCAATAATGCCGATTCAACGGAGAAACTGCTAATCTTAAATTTTGTAATGAAGAAAAAGATAAAAAAAAGGAATTTAGTATATTTTTTAAGCATTGAAGATGTTTTAATAGAGTTCCTTCAGCTGCCGGTAACATTTTCTGTTGATTTGAAAAGTAAATGTTAATATAATGTAATTTTTAAGATAAATAAACCATTATTATTTTTGTTATAATTTTTATTTTTTAAAGCATGTAACTGCTTGATGTTTAAATCGAAAGAAAATTTAACTAGAAAAAAATCCACGCGGACCAGGCAGCAGACGGGAGTCGAACCCATGCACTGACGAATTATGCTACCGCGGTCCTGACGGCTGCATCGAAATTCTTCTAGCCATTCTTGGCTGCAAGGCAGTGCCATCTCTTCGCATTTCGACAATTTCGACGCGGTCGTCAGGGCCACGGTAGCATAATTGGTCAGTGCATTCGCCCGGATAGCGAAGGGTGCAGGTTCGAGTCACGTCTGCTGCCTGGTCCACGTGGAATTTTTTCTAGTTATATTTTCTTTCGATTCAAACGTTTTTATTATTATATTTTTAAAATCGTTTCATTGAGGTTTGATATGAGAAGGTATATAAGGAGACATCAGGTACATGTTTTACAAAAAAAAAAAATACCAATCCGCCGCTTACCAGGAGGTTTCTAAACTATTTATATTTTGACAATTTATCTGATATTTGTAGATATTATTGGGAGGGCCAATATTAATGTCCTGGATATCCCTTATCGTGTTAGTGAAAAATACTTCTTTTATTCTCAGATCTGGCTGAAGTTGTAGGTTAATTTCTTAATAACAAAAAACTGTTTTCTATTTCTTGTGTATCATGACAATGCATAATTAATTATGATGCATGTCTTTAACAAATAACATTATAATAGGGTATTTGACAAGTTTTAGAATACGATCTCACGTTATTTACTAATGTTTATATAGTCCATAAAAAGTAGATATTCATCATTATGTTATGTATTTCGGTAAAGAAACTAAATTTCTGAAAATATCTAAATCTCTGCGATAAACGTATCTCTGGACAGTATGGCGTCTCACTGGTGTGTGACGTCATACGGCTGTCATTAAAACGTCAAACCATACAATCTAATGTCACTTTAACCGGAAGTTTACTTGCGTGTGACGTCATTTTAGGCTCCACCAATCCCAAGCGTTTTAGGTCACGTGACAAAAGACAAGAAAACTATTATCTTTATCGTGGGTTTTTAGTAAAATTATGAATATTTTTTCTGTAAAAAAAGTAGAAACTCATGCCAACATTCATTCTAAATACAGATTGGCATTTTTTTTTAATACAGTCAAACCCTATTGTAGATGCGCGCATTTTCTTACAAGAATGATTGCATTGTTGCACTTCCGAGTAAATTATTTTGCTTGATTTCATTACACACTATTATTTAACGTGAACCTACCCCAGCTTCTTTAATTAATAAAGATCAGCGGGGCTATTACAAATTGATCAGCGAATCCGCGCGTGAAAATTTTGCAGAATAGCCACGCAGGGCGGATACTGGAGTACATTACAAGCATTCTAATTCACTCCAGTATCCCAATTGGTATCAGTGCAAGATGGGTGATGAAATAATTATTAAGTACGTGCTTTGAAAGCACGCTGAGCCGCAGGGCTTGGCTTCATATGGATTCATTAGTATCACCGTTTACTTTAGCTTCTACTACAGACAGGATTACCAAGACATAGACTAAAGTTCTTTTGTACTCTTACTACCGGGCTGAAGGAGGACGAAGATTAACAGTACTGGTGCCAGTACCAGTAGAAGAGCGTAGTAGAAGCTGGAAGAAACGCTCTCATATGTACTCAAATTCCGACGGGTGCGAAAATGAGATAGGTTGATTTCTTTTGGTAAATAATCATGTATCACAGCACAGAAATGTAGCTGTATCAATCCATTAGTAAACACACGCTTCGAAGACGACGTCTGAGGGAACAATTTTTTATTTTTTTTTACTTTTGTAGTGGCGGCGTCTACACTACATGCCCCACATATAATGAACTTAGAGGAAATAGTCACTCGCCTCCTTAAGAGATGGCGCTACCGGCGCGCGTTCACAACGTATGGAAGCCTACATCGCGCAAGAGAAATTCGGAGTCAAACATTCCATATATACGATGCCCGACCAATATTAGTCCCGCCCCCCCGACACAGAGAGGTTCGATTCCTCTCAGTCCCCTCCCGTTCCAAGTGCACATCTGAGTGCACTTGTCCTCTAAGCGCATTTTGCGTTATTTTAAACTATGCACTAGTTTAAACTAACGCAGCGCCGCATCATCCCCCTCTCGGGGGTTGATCGCTTCAGATGAAGCTTGTAAGGCCCTTCTGGCCATAAGCATGATTAAAGGGTGTTTTTTAGTCAGTAAGAGTCTGACATAACCTTACAGCCGGCTGTAGGGTATCCATGAGGATTTCTCACCCTCTCCCCCGCCTGGGAGGAAACAAAAAAAAAACATATATTAGTTGGGCCGCGGCCCCCGAGCTACGATCACCCAGCTCGGAGGAATCTTCCCCTTTGGCCTTCCTACACTTTGATATTCAGCAGTGCAGTAACGTTACAATTTTTTGGTACACTTAAAAAAGGAGCCTACGTTGATCTATGTAACCTAATCTCAGGCAAAGAAATACTACATTTATATTCAGTTACATTATAAATTGTTTTTGGTACAGGTGCTTTTACAATTAAAAAAAAGGAGCTTAAATTGATTTATGTAACCCAATGTAAGGTAAAGAAATGAAACATTTATACTATTTATTTTGTTACAAGAACAAGAAGCTTCGAGTTTAAATATCAGTTAGTGAATCACTTATACACAAACATCTTAAACCATATTTGTTTCTTAGGTTTTCCCGCACATCACTCATTAAATAAAACTAGTTTTAACTGGTTAAAGCACGAAACTTTATTTATTTATTGACGTTTCGCTTTATATAATAATTATGTTATTTGAAATAACCGAATGCTCAATAAAAGTTTTTCGAAGGTAGCTCGACAAAATTAAATAAAAAATCATTCTGACGAAGCAGACCTGAAAAGGCAGCGAAACGTAAATAAATAAATAACGTTTCGTGCATTAACCCGTTAAAACTAGATTTATCTTAAACCATTTCAAAGCTGTTCTGTTTTTTGTGTTGGTAATATATTGATTTTAATTGATCTTTAACGTCTCAAGATATGATAGGATTCACAGACCTGTTGTAATAGAAAGCTTGCTTTTTGTTTAATCGTTTATTGCTGTTAAAAGCCTATCTTCGAATAGCAGTCCGATAGTAGACATTAAATTGGAGTTGCAGCGCGTCAAAAATGTTTGCGGAGGCGCATACGAACGACTTTTATGCCATTATTAGAAAGAGGTCCGCTTCCATGCTCACTAGGCTTCGCTCTAGTACCAACAGCTTCCTGAGAGTATTTAATGACCGGTGGGACACTCCTCTGCTACGACACTGGATGAAGTTCCATATCCAAAAGTAATATTTTATGTAATTCTTTATAATTCTTTAGTATACTAACACTAGCAAACCAGTGAACCAAATGTTCACCAAAACCTGATTTCTCGAAAACCGGAAGTGCTACGTTACTCCAATCCGGTTTGTAGTCTCATCAGACTATTCTTAACTTATAACTTAAATATTCTCTTTATCTATCTCTTACGGTTTGGCCGCTGAAACAGCACCACAGACAGACGGACTTGTCTAATAGATAAGAGATATTTATAAGTAAATCAAATGTAACTAACACTATGGAAACTAGTTCTGAAATAAATAATTTGAATTGAATTGAATTTAAATAACTTTGCTTGATATCATATCCTGACACCGAGTGTAATCAGCAAACGTTGAGCTAGTTTAATAAAATGTTCTGCTACATTTTCATCATTGACAAAAAAATTGTTTAACCTAATATTTCAAAACTCATAATATCTTAAATCTAAAGAAAAGTTTACTAGAAAAAAATCCACGCGGACCAGGCAGCGGACGGGACTGACCATTATGCTACCACTGCCCTATTAGCCGCGTTGAAATTTTCCTAGCCTTAAGCTGCAAGGCAGCGCCATCTCTTCGCATTGTAGGTAACCCACAATGTCAAATGAATACTTTTTCAAGTATTAAACATTTGAAAGAAGAAATAGCAATTATAGTTATGATTTTATTTATTTTTTAAGTATCTAAAGAAAAGTTTCCTAGAAAAAAAATCCACGCGGACCAGGCAGCGGACAGGACGGGACTTCTTTAGATTTAAACATCTAGCAGTTAAATGCTTAAAGAAATAAATAAAATCATAACTCACAATATCTTTATTAAAATGGACATTGCTACTCGTAAGTACTTTTAAATCGTCAATTGCCTACCATAGTTTCGAGATGAAATAATGCTTTCACTTAAATAACTATTATGCTGCTTTGTCGGAGAAGAAGCGGCGCTTTAACTTGCCTCAGTTTTGTTTAACATACATTTATTTTGATTTACAATATTAGCAAATGGATTTCCTTCTTGTAAACAAAATATCTTTTGAATTTAATGCGGTCCTCCAGTTTCGATGTGGCTTTCTTCCACATCAGCAGAATTCGGTAAAGTCGAAATATCAGGTAAGCTCATCGGTCTCATCATAGCTTGAAAAGTTCCAATCACCATTTGTGTGTCTCCAGACCCCAATTGCCTTTTCAACCGTGCATATTTTGAATCATTTGATCCTACAGAAGCTGTATTCAGAACTGTCTTTTGATCATTATGGTTTTCATTTGTTTCCTCTTTCTTATTGATATGTTCCATTGTGGGATTAGTCTCATCGGAAAATGAATCTGATTCACGATCTTTTATTCTTGTGAATTTGTGTATTGTTTTCCCTGTTTCTGAATTAAAGCTGTTTTGATATTCATTTGGCATGACCAGTTTGTCAAAGAACAACATATATGTATCAGCTTTGGTAGTATCGTTAAAAATAAACTGGCTTGGATTTGATTTGCGTTCTATAACACTTCCTTTTATTATAGAAACGAATAAGGAAGTAATGAGAACTTTAAGATACATTTTGCGATTGCTTCACTAGACACTTTCCTATTTCTGACCTCTTTTTGAAATAACGCAGCAGTTTTGTTGTTTTGAAATTATGATTATTAATGAGAAGATAAGACATAAGAATTCTTTTGT